CCCCAAAACCCCAAAACCCCAAAACCCCAAAACCCCAGCCAATACAATATTGAACTGAAATAATTTAATCTAATTAATTAAATAATGATTCTTTATTAAATCAGGAGTATATGTGAAATTCATAATGTAGAGAGTTATCTTACTTCACCCAAAATTTCTTTAGCTCCATTGGTAACATAACTTCGCTAACTTCAGTAAGCAAATAATCTTAGAAGAATTCCTAGTCTTTAATGTTTTCTAGATTTTGGATCACCCATATTCCCTTTAATTTCTTTAATCTACTTTCTATAAAGAAGCAGCCAACTGCCTGGCCTTGCTACTAAATATTTCTTAATCTTGCAAACTCCTTTTCCAGTAAAATTTCATCTTTTGGAGTTTTATACATTTCAAATTTCTGACATGTTATTTAATCTGATGTTTTCAATGACTTACTAACTATGTCTGCCAGCTATTTAATCATACTTTCATCAATAATAATATCTTTATCTAAACTAGAAAGTTTTAAAGACTATTGCAGCTAATCAATCAAGAAATTTTGTTGCTTTATAACATCGATTTACACTTTGTGGTTATTCTCCCTCAAATCTTGAATCAATGGCTAAATACTCTATGCTTCAACTATATTAGGCATTGTGTTTTAAATTTGTTGTGATTGAAGGACTGGCTAATAATTCATTTGTTAATTTATACTTTATTATTATCTCAATTGGATAGTCTGAAATTCATTAATTAGTCTTTAAAAATTTGATTGATCAACAAGTGGATTATTCGAATCAATACTGTAATTTTGAAAATAGTAGTTATCTTATTTGTGAATCCAATTCAAAGCAAATCCGAGATCTTCTCCAATTTTAGAAAGTGCATTGTAATTATTAGTGGAGTACTTGCTTTACCTTCTTAACTCATCTTGAATCTATCAGTACCAATTTTAGTTTTAAACTTAAGTCCAATTACTGAAATTTCTCTAGATCTAATTTATTTCAATCTTAATATTTTCTATTTATAAGCTTAACCTTGAATTTTCATCTCTCAGCTAATTTGCTTGGTCTTAAATCAAGGTTTTTAGTTCTTTATAGCAATTATGATACTGGTTTCTCTTATATGTTTCTTTACAGCAATTGCACTAATCAAATTGAGGCTCTTTCACTTTGTATTGCATTTTTATTTTGAATTATTAATTTTCTTTTATTTATATATATATATTAGTTAAATTGATACATTACTTGATTTATGGGGTTTTGGGGTTTTGGGGTTTTGGGG